TTTTTCTTTTTGCTTATGTGGTGCTGAGGAATCGAACCCAGGGCTTCAGGCATGCAAGGCAAGCGCTCTACCACTGAGCCACCTTCCCAGCCCCTTTTTTTGTTTTTTTTTTGAGTCCGGTCGTGGGGCCTGAACTCTGGGCCTGGGCGCTGTCCCTCAGGTCTTCAGCAAGGCTAACGCTCTACCCTTTGAGCCACAGGGCCACTTCCAGCTTTTTTCTTTTTTCTTATGTGATGCTGAGGAATCGAACCCAGGGCCTCAGAGGCATGCAAGGCAAGCGCTCTACCACTGAGCCATCTTCCCAGCCCCAGAAATAACTTTTAAAAAATGTACTGCTATCTATTGAGTAACTATTATACACCATTATCTCACTGTAGTTCTCTTATGAAAAGTATCATTTCCATTTTACAGAAGAGGGCTCTGAGGGCTAAGAAGTTCTTCCCAATGTCATGCAGCTAGTAAGTGCAGGCCCAGTGGTGAACTCAGGTCCATGATGGTCCAAAAATTTATGCCCTTACTTTCCAAACAAACTTAAGTTAATCTGTTTTTTCAACTTGAATAATGCCCTTTAATTTCACTGTTATTTAATCTGAGATTTACTTTTCCTGAGTTACACAAACCAGGGGAGAGACAACACAAGTTCAGGTATGCCCTGTGGTTTCAATTTATAAGCTCCCACAATGGATCTAAGAGGCCAAATAAATATTAAAGCAGAGTTGGGAACCAGGGGCTCATGCCTGTAATCTTCACTACTTGGGAGATTGATATTGGAAGAATGGTAGTACCAGGCTAGCCCAGGCAGAAAGGATCACAGGATTCCATTTCAACAGCAGAATCTGAGCCTGGTAACACATATCTATCATCCCAGTTATACTGGAAGCCTAAAATAGGTGGATCACAGCCCAAGTTTGTCCAAGGCAGGAATTGAGACCCTATCTCAAAAATAACCAGTGTCAAGAATGAGCAGGTGTGGCTTATCCATAAGTCCCTGAGTTCAAACTTACCATCTAAAAAGAAACAACGAAAAACAAATACTAAAACAGGAGAACAGGGTGTGGTGGGGGCAGGCATGGGAGGGGGAGAAGAAAAAGTTTCCTGACCCTTGGTGCATAACTGTCAACAAAAGCTGCATCTAAACATGCCCTTGGTAGGACAATTCATGATGACTGTCCGTGGAACAGGCAGACATAAAACTACTTCCCATTGTAGCTGGCATCACAACCACTCTGTATTTACTAAATTCCCTACTAGAGATAGTTTTACTTGGCATTTTATGCTACCAAAATGTTTTGACATTTGCACACAGTAGTAGGTGGTAGAAGGGAAAACATCAAATCTTATCATTTACTCTGTTACCACAGGGAAGAAATATTCTCCTTTGGACTATGAGCACAAGGTTTGACGAATACATCCTGAATGAACTGGAGAAGTCCAGAAGTTGAGGCTCCTAGCAGAACATTTCCGGTACACTGGAGGCGGCATTGAATCAGCAGATACTTACTTGTCAACTAGAGTCCGTATAACCGCCAATGTGTCCAGCACTAGGCCATCCACATTCTGTTTCTTTCGCCTTGGCTCATGGGGTCCTCGGCCCCTCCTAGGAGGCCGAACAGGGTCTCTAGGTTGGCTCCTCGTGTCAGCAGTGGGGACTGCACTGTTCTCGGCCTGCTGCTGGTGGGTGTCAACACTGTCTTCTGCTCCACTGTCATCACGGCAGATACAGGAATTGCCCATGGTAGTAGTGGCACCTATAGTCCCCAATAGGTGGGCTATGTGCTCCTCAAAAGTCAACAGCAGACCCTGGCCAAGGCTTCTGCTCGCTAAGAACACGGCCCAACCAAAGACAATCATTTAGATAGTTTTCAGTTTTCCAAGTACTGTTTTCATAATCTGGAGTTGAGGAACTTGCATTCTATTCGTGTTTAAAAACTGAATTCCAAAGAAAGCTGCAGAGTTGTTCTTCAACATTATCAGCTACAGGGAATGCTGGTCATCCACTGGGAATTCTGTAAGAAAGGGAAAAAAAGAAAAATGAATAGAAGATTCTTGGCCACTCAATTATACAAACTTTCCTAGTTTTGCTTATAGGTCTTCAGATTACAACTAAGAATCATCTTTGGTTGCTTTATAGGTTTCCAACCCGAAGAGCTATTTTTGGATTACAGTATGACCGACCAACCAACCAATTCCTTTCTTTTTTTATGGTCATTCGTGGGGCTTGAACTCTGCGCCTGGGTGCTGTCCCTGCGCTCTTCAGTTCAAGGCAACACTCTACTGCTTGAGCCACAGTGTCATTTCCGGTCTTCTAGTGGTTTATTGGAGATAAGAGTCTCATGGACTTTGCTGCCCGGGCTGGCTTTGAACCGGGCTGGCTTTGAACCACGATCCTCAGATCTCAGCCTCCTGAATAGCTAGGATTACAGGCGTGCACCATGGGCGCCAGGCCAACCAGTTCCTTTTAATCACTATATTATAAAGTTGACTGCTAGGGCTGGTAATGTACCTTGTGGCAGAGTGCTTGCCTAGCATGCAAGAAGCCCTGGGTTTGATTACTCAGTACCAGAAAAAGCTGGAAGTGGTGCTGTGGCTCCAGTGGTATAGTGCAAGCCTTGAGCACAGAAAGATTCAGGGACAGAGTCCAGGCCCTGAGTTCAAGCCCCAAGACTGGAAAAATAAATAAATAAATAAATAAATGTGACTGCTAAACCATGTCCTTGTAAACCAATCAGGAGTTCCAATCAGTGTTTATAAACATGAGCAAATGTTGTAGTGATGTATCTTCCTATCTGTACAGAAACACAAGCCTCAAAGGAGGCTTATCCAAGAATTTACAGAAATCATCCAATTGTTACAAAGTTTTCCTGTAGGGACACAAGACACTGGGAAATACAAATTCTTATCACAAAGCTTCATTCTCATGATGATCAGTTTGCTGCACAGCATGTCTGTGACTGCTACAAGAATAAGATGCAACCACTATTTTTGTCTAAAAATACTAAGAACTATGTGCAAAACACCAGGCAGGGAGCAGAAGAACAAAGACAACGAAGGCACAGTTCCCTGCCCTCTGAATTCATGTGGGGCTATTCTCATCCCACATAGTCACTTATCCTAAACCCACTGAGCTAGGAAAATTGGCTTAAGTCTGGAAAGAAGGAAAGACTTAGAAGTAGCAGACAAGGCATAAGGCTGGTAGCAAAAAGTAAAAAAATCATGCTGACAGCCCTGATATTCAGTATATGTGGGAAATGAACTACGCAACTTGTGGCAGGGACAGGAGGAGTAAACGGGGAAAAGCCAAAGAAGGGGTGACATTGTCCAAAAAGAACTGTACTCATTACCTGACTTATAAAATAGTAACCCCTCTGTAGAACACCTTAAAAACAATAAAATTATATTTAAAGAATCATGCTGACATTTGCAAGCTAGCACATATAAAGAACAGACAACTAATTCCTCATGTCCTGAGCACTTGATCAAGATTAGATGTATATAACATTTATAACTTAGTGGGATTAGAAGAGAAAAATTATTCCATTATTCTGGATGGATTCATAGCATTTTCCCCGCTTCTACTTATAGGGGAGAATCAGAAGAAGGAGAGGAAGGGATATGGGAGATATGAAAAGTCTATACTTGACCCGGGTGCCGGTAGCTCACGCCTGTAATCCTAGCTACTCAGGAGGCTGAGATCTGAGGATCGCAGTTCAAAGCCAGCCCAGGTACGAAAGTTTATGAGACCCTTATCTCCAATAAACCAACAGAAAACCAGAAATGGCGCTGTGGCTTAAGCGGGAGAGCACTCGCCTTGAGCTGAAGAGCACAGGGACAGTGCCCAAGCCCAGAGTTCAAGCCCCACCACGGACCAAAAAAAACCAAAGTCTATACATGTATGTATATATACATATTCACATATGTAAATATATACACATACAAGTAAATATGTATGAAAAAATACAATTTAGCATAAAGGAATGGGAGGGAATAAACGAGAGGAGAAAGGAAATAGATATCTTCCCCCAGACTACCAAGAGAGCAGAGGCTGAACCCCTATGGATCTTCTTAGTTCCTCCAAACCAGTGAGGCTGTCTTTTAAAGTTTAGAGGTTGCACTTAAAAGAATGAATATATTGGGGCTGGAGGTTTTAGCTCAGCGGAAGAGCACTTGCCTGGCAAACGCAAGGCCTTGAGTTGGGTCCTCAGCTCTGGCAACAACAACAAAAAGAATGCAAGGAAGGGAGAACACATTAAAATCCAGCAAAGAATTCAAATAAATGACATCTACTGCAGGCACAAGCGCTTAATTTCTTCCAGATAGTAGCAACTGAGAGACTTAAATGCTTAAAAAGATTGAGACAAGGGGCTGGGAAGGTGGCTCAATGGTAGAGTGCTTGCCTTGCATGCCTGAGGCTCTGGGTTCAATTCCTCAGCACCACATAAGCAAAAAGAAAAAAGCAGGAAGTGGCACTGTGGCTCAAGTGGTAGAGCGCTAGCCTTGAGCTGAAGAGCTGAGGGACAGCGCCCAGGCCCAGAGTTCAGGTCCCACAACCAGACCCAAAAAAGACAAAAAAGCCCCACAAACAAACAAAAAAACAAAAAGATTGAGACAAGACCAGAAATAACTATATGTTAAAAGGGTCTATGGCATAAATTTCTATTAATCTTATAAGTTATGCTGGTTTTTGTAACAGACCACAAAGCAACATTTAAGTACCCATGTTCTAAAACCAACATGGTGATATACACTTGTAATCTCATCCTCCTGCCTCAGCACCTGAGTGCTGAGATTACAACAAATACAATGCTCTGGACCTTCTCAGATTTTACAAAGATAGGCACTGCTAAGATGATTTACATGAAAGGTTTTCTGGCAGGCCTATGGCTGGCTAGTAGCTCAGGCAATTATGCCACTTAAGTACTTCCTTGAAATCTTGCACTCTATCACGAGCCACAGCGCCACTTACAGCTTTTACTGCTTGTGTGACACTGAAGGAATTGAACCCAGGGTCTCATGCATGCAAGGCAAGCACGCTACCACTGAGCCATCTTCCCAGGCCCCTCCTTGAAAGCTTAACATATCACATTCTTTCTTTTTCTTCTTCTCTTCTCCCTTCCCTTCATTTCCTTCATTTCTCTCTCCCTTTCTCATCCTTCCCCCCCCCCCTTTTCTTTTAATGTGACAGTATTAAGATTTGAATTCAGGGCTTGGTACTCTTGCTTATTAGCTTTTTAACTTAAGGCTGTCACTCTACCACTTGAGCTACCCCACATCTTCCCTTCTGGCTATTTGTTGATCAACTGGAGATTAACAATCTATGGGATTTGTCTTCCCAGGGTGGCTAGAATCTTGATCCTCAGATCTCAGGATAGCTAGAATTATAGGTTTGAGCCGTTGGTGTCCAGCTAGCAATGTGTGTGTGTGTGTGTGTGTGTGTGTGTGTGTGTGTGTGTGTATGTGAGCTTGAACTCAAGACCTGGTCACTATCCCTGAGCTATATTGTTGAAGGCTAGTACTCTACCACTTGAGCCTCAGCCCCACTTCCAGCTTTTTGGGGGTTAACTAGAGATTAAGACTTTTCTGCCTGGGCTGGCTTTGAACCATGATCCTCGGACTCAGCCTCCTGAGTGGCTAGGAATACAGGCATAAGCTACCAGTGTGTCTGGAAAGTTATTAATTTTTAAGATCTTATCAAAAAAAATTGGAAGGCTGGGAAGGTGGCTCACTGGTAGAGTGCTTACCTTGCATGTATGAGGACCTGGATTCAATTCCTCAGCACCACATAAGCAAAAAAAAAAGCCAAGTGGTAGAGCACTAGCCTTGAGCTGAAGAGCTAAGGGACAGCACCCAGACCCAGAGTTCAGGCCCCATGACTCACCAAAAAAAAAAAAAAGGAATGTTGGGCACTGGTGGCTTACACCTGTCATCCTAGCTACTTAGGAAGTTGAGATCTGAGGATCACGGTTCAAAGCCAGCCCAGGAAGGAAAGTCTATGAGACTCTTATCTCCAATAAACCACCAGAAAACTGGAAGTAGCACTATGGCTCAAATGGCAGAGCACTCACCTTGAGCTGAAAAGCTGAGGGATAGCACCCAGGCCCAGAGTTCAAGTCCCACAACCAACAAAAAATAAAAATAAAAAACAAATAAAAATAAAAAATTGGAGACTGGGTATTGAACCCAAGGCCTTATAATTGCTAGGAAGGCACCTAAACCATGCTCCAGCTTTATTGGTTTGATTATTTTTCTGATAAGGTTGGCTTTTTAAAAATTATTATTTTTGCAGTTCAGGGCAGGCCTGAATTGCAATCCTTTTCTAAACCCAGCTACTTGGGAAATATGAATAGAAGGACTGCAAAGGTTGTTTGCTTGTTTTTTAAAAATTGAGGTGGGGCTGGGCACTGGTGGCTCACGCCTGTAATCCTAGCTACTCAGGAGGCTGAGATCTAAGGATCTCCCGTCAAAGCCATCCCCGGGCAGGAAAGGCCGTGAGACTCTTATCTCCAATTAGCCAAGTGGCGCTGTGGTTCAAGCAGTAGAACGCATGCCTTGAGATAAATTGCTGAGGGACAGCGCCCAAGCCCAGACAGAGTTCAAGCCCCACAACCAACCAAAAAAAAAAAAAAAATTGAGGTGGGGTATAGTTATCTTTTTGTCTGGCTGGCTTTGAATCCTGATCCTTCTGATTTCTGCCTCCTAAATAGCTAGAATTATAGGTATGAGCCATCATGCCGCGATCATATTTTACCCAACATGTTACAATAAAACCCATTATTTTATACAAATAATTGATGCTAATAAAAAAATAGCTCCATATATTTCTAATCTGTGGCTAAACCAACTAACACACTGGAGATAGTGGAAGGCAGTAGTCCAAGGTCCAATATAAAGAAATTCCCGAGGAATGCTTCTGCCCTCTGAGGAAGCGCTCTCAGGTTCTAAACTCCTTCCCCATGGTGAGGGCCCAGGACTGTGCTCAACATTGAGGGCAGAGCGGGTTCCACTGGCT